ATTGCAGCCTATATACGTCTGACTGTTCGACACAGACAGGACCCCTCTCATTTCTAGGAGGGTTTTAGGGCAAGATTATCTGCCGCGCTGCCCCATCGCTGGCGGCGTTCCCACTTATTTGAAGTTGGAATGTTGGGCGTGGGGACTTCGAAATATTTTTTTTCGAAATGCAGGTTTCCTCATAATTACGATCACGCGGTAAATCAGCACTTAAAATTGCATATAACAATTTCATTGATGGCGGCTAGTATCGAATCCGGGTTGCTCAGAAACTGTAAAATTTACAGCGAGCGTTTAGCCCCTGAGCTACCACGGCTCAGGGTTTAAGAACCATGGTTTAAGAAGATTTTAAAAGGTTGATAGATAATTCAAACTTGAGACTATCATTAGACCGATTGGATTTAAAAAAAATTGTTACATGTGACGCAAGGCAGAAAACAAATGACTTTATGAGTTTCTAGGCCATATAAATCCAGCTAGAAGTAAAGTGTGATTCGCGCTCTAAACATAACAGCTCCGCAAATTGTTTAATAGTGAACGACACATACGGGATCGCTTGTTTGTCTGTTAATTGCAATGACTCAATAGTCTATTTATGATCAGCGTTCGTGCTAATTGCTTTACTATAAAAATCCACTTAGAATTGTAGGAAAATTTACGATTGCAGCAAAATTGCTCGTACGTGTTGTAAGAATGATTCCGAAGGCTTTTTTGTGCCTATGTACGCATCGCCCGGCAGGTTATTTCGGATTCGCACCGACTAAAGCCCAATGGTGTTTTTTTATACTATTCTAAGCCAGCGCTTAACTACTGTCCCACCTGATGGTAGGTGATGCAGCCGAAGATGGTGAAGCGCACTGACCTGAAAAGCCTATTCACTCTTGCCTTGAAGACACCAACATTGTAACCGAACGGAAATACAGATGCTGGCAACTTATTCCACTCCTTTGCTGTACACATGTCGAATGTAGACTGGCTGAACTTCTGGTCCGATGGTGGTTTTTTGGTTTATTGAATGGGGGTGACTAACGAGAACACAGTCGACCTAATGGTTAGTGTAATGCTGTGGCCCATAGATACCTACATTTATCTTCAATTAAGAATCAAAATTCAGATGCGTTGTCACCCCTGAGGAATAAGATGGAATGACTAGTATCCAGTAAAAAGGGTCTCCGGTTCTCTAAAGTCATTGTACAAAACACAGCAGCATTAAGCTGATATTTTAAGTTATGTTATATTATTATTATTTTACATTAAGTTATGTAATTCCAATAAGGCTTTTACAAATCCATTGTTCCACCTTTGCTGATATAAACAGGACCACGGGAACTTGAGTTGACATCATGTTGACGTGGTAGATCTTCGAAAATCTAAAAAGGATTCCGTATAATCCAATAAGATATCATCTGTGTACGACATATTATAGTGGCAAATGTGTAAGATCTAATTAAAAGATTAATCAATAAAAATAACGATCAATAATTAGAGTCGTAGGAGAAGGGCGAAACGCTTACCGATAAATTTATATTTACAGATACCAACTGAATAAATATAAAAAAATTTGGTTGTCAACCCGCTTGCGGAGGAGGAGACTTATATTCAGCAATGGACTTTTGACAGGCTGTAATGGACCCGTGCTGGTGCCGGTCTACGCTCGGTTATTGGCAGTACTAACACAGACGTCAGTTCTACAATACATATAATTTGTTTGTTATATCTGTAACATTTTAAGACGAAAATATAATCAACGCAGAGAAGTCAAATTTTAAATTCGTCCAATCTTAAAAATAAAATTGTGAGAAGGAACATATTATACCATATCAAAAACCACTGACGCATTGTGTTGTGTATTAAAACTAATTTCTTAATTAACTGACATGGTGTAAAAAACTTTACCTCAGTCACGACTAGCGACATCTGGTGAGTGGAAAATTATTAGCCCTCATTGCAGCACGAATGGGTCGACTCTGGACCGAGGAACGACCACGCTTACACAGCAGGTAGCTTCAAATAGCATCTTAATTCTGCTATGTTTCGTATGGTGAGTATAGAAAACCGAAGACTTTTTTACTGGCAACAAGGCATTATTTAGTCATTTTGCATGCATTTTGATTATTTAATGACGATAGATGTGAATGTCTATGCGCTACAGCATCCACTTACAATCAGGGGGACTTTGTGCTCATTTGTCAACATTATTCTATAAAAAAGTGACTAACTGTAATAATAATAATAATAATAATAATACCTACTAACTTTACGCTGACATCACATGTTTGTCGTTATTGCTGGTGCATGTGGAACTAAGCATAAATAGGTTGCTAATGGGCGTTGTTATAAGTTTTACGTGCCCTATCGACTTACGGAGTTAAATAATTGCGATTTAGTTTGTTGTTTGTAGTAATTTGTCTTTTTAACTTATTCTCTATGAAAAAGAGCCAAGGAAGGGCTGGAAGAAAAGCTATACGTGCCGTACTAGCGCTCGCTGTAAATTTTACACTATACGAGTCACCCGGGTTCGATCCTAGCTGGCTCCAATCGAATTGTTAATTGCAAATTTTAAGTGCTGATTTACACCGTAGCGGTGAAGAGACCTGAATATATTCCGAATGATTAAAAAAATGGTAGATAATTGCTTGCCCTAAAACCCTCTTCGAAATGAGAGAAGGCATGTGCGCAAAAGTGGAAATGTATATACGCGACAACTTTCGTAGTAATCCTTCCTTTATACTTCATCACTACGAAAAAAGGTTAATAAAAGGATCAGCGTCTTATATCGATGTTCATACACACGGAAATGTCGCACCAGACGACTCAACTTTACGAGTTTGCTTAGTCCTTTAACCTAGTTCAGGTAATGGAGCCGATAAAATTCGATACTCCCACGACATTCCATCATTAAAGTTCACTACTAAACATAGGCCTGCTTCAAAGAATGCCACAAAACACGGCCCTGATCCAACTGTATCCGTCGCCACTTGCATGAGTGCTTTAAAAAAACTACAACCACGCTGTAGCTATATTATGGTTGCAGCTCGAATGGATGACCGGGGGAGGACCACGCTCTTACAGAATATCAACTTGAAATAACAACTCAATGCTGCGGTGTTGTGTATGGTGAGTGTAGAGAACCGGAGACAATTTTTACTGGTAAAAAGGTATTCTATCTTAGTCCTTAGGGGTGATTCTTAATCGAGGATAGATGTAGATATCTATGGGCCACAGCATCCACTCAAGTTGGACTGTGCTCGTCGGTCACTCGAGAACCTTTCTTTCTTATCGGGCTATATGACCGGCCCATTGCTACTTAAGAGTGTTACCACATCAATCGACCGATCGTCGATCGATGCCATCGATTGATGATGGAGTGGATTAGTCAACGTCGATAGATAGTTTTTACCACACAGATCGATCGATGGTAGGATTGATTAATCGATTTCGATCGAGCTGCTTGACTATCCGAGAACCCACCCCGCTCCACCGACCACTATTTAAAATGTCGTCTAGATGAATTTAAGCTATCTCTGGCCTTAAAAAACGGTCGCAATCCAGAGTCTGCTGAGTTTGCCTCTCCATAATAATAACACGAGCTACTGTCCAACAATAACGCGTCCACTTCTGAATACATTTTTAAAGATACTGATGATGAGTCCACAATCCCATCGATTAGTTGTTGTTCGATTATTGCACAATTAGCTAAAGCTATCACAACAATCAGTCGACTTCGATCGACGATCGATCGATTGGTGTGGTGATGTGTACTGATACGTTGGGCAATTTTAGTTCATCTTGTTCTTCTGTAGTTTTTTTTGTAGGATAGGGTGACAAACGAGCACACAGTCCACCTGATGGTAAGTGGTTGCTGTGGCCCATAGACATCTACATCTATCTTCGTTTGCGAATCAAAATGCAGATGCGTAGTCACCCGTGAGGACTAAGATGGAATGCCTATTTTCCAGTAAAAAGGGTCTCCGGTTCTCTATACTCACCATACGAAACACAGCAGTTTCAAGCTGCCATTTTACGCTGATATTCTGTGAGAGCGTGGTCCTTCCCCGGCCGAGCCGACTCATTCGTGCTACAACTATACTACTAATATAGCTGCAGCATGGCTCTACCACGTATAAAAATCTCCTCGTCACGGATTTTATTACGCATAGAAAGTTTAAGCACACCCATCTCAATAGTTATATGAGTGACTTTGACGTTTTTCATACCGACAGCGATGAATAACCGCTGGTAGGTCCATAAGTCATATCATATTATGATGGAAGCTAGCCGCGAACCACACTGACTGAATTGATTATTAATTCTACATAGTCATAGAAAACACCCTAAAAAGTGAATTAATGTGCCAAGCCACGACGGTGCAATCAAAAAGACATTACGTCCCTTGACTTCCCCAACATTAGTGTAGTGAATCACACATCACATTCACGAGTTCACGTAAACGTAAAGAAAATTAAATAAATGCTTCGTTTACCGTACTAAAATTACGTAAGAGGAGAATCTTACGTATAATTTCATAGGAACTTAAGGTAAATACTAGATGCCTTCAAAAACATAACTTGTAAAATTGAAAAAACTTGTAGTCTCGCAATTCAGTTCTGCTACCGGAAAAAATTGTGAGATCCATGTAATACCAAAACGGTTACTTTATTCAGTCCCTACTTACAGATTTTCTTAAATGACATAACATCAGAACATCAGAACCCGCGGCTCTCAGCGCCGCAACTCATTGTTAAGCCAATGTGTCACGGAGCCGTCGAAAAATTGTCATTCAAGTTATCAACAAATTCTATATATATATATGGACTAAAATGACATATTCAAAATGTGGTTTCGATTGCTGGCACAGTTGTAGAATCCTTAATATATTTAAATGTTTAAAATTAATCTACACTAAAAAGTTCGGAAGCAATTCTGAGTGAAAGGGCACAGCAACGTCTGCCAAGCTATTGTAAAAAAAAGTGTTGATAAATAGCAATCATAACACTCACCTCTCTATTGAAAGCGTCCGGCATGGTGAACGTGGACGTGATCCAACAGAACGTGTTGACGACATTGGCCGGCAGCCCGTTGACGATGCACTGTATCGGATGCCCGACGTACTGCGTGGCCGTGATGATGACCGAGCAAGTGAGCAAGAGCACCGTTGTGAACACATTGTGCAAGCGGAACACCGCATTATCAGTCTTAATGTCCTGGTACTTAAAATAAACACTCAATCCTCCGAGAAGTCTCAACATTTTGACGGTCCTATTGCATTACGCGGAAGATTCTAGAATCGCGAATGTGCGTTACTTAACGGCTACGTAAAATCAGTCTTGTCAAAAATTCATTGTACCGCCGGAATGATGCGTTGCGATGCGAGATTATTGTCGAGATTGCTTGTCGTGAATATCTGGAACAAAAGAGAATTTCCTTGTTAAGTTTTAAGGTTATACGAGAGAGCTACACTACAGCTATATTGTGGTTGCAGTATGACTGGGTCGGCTCGACCGTGGTAGGGCCACACTCTAATGGAATCTCAGCGTAAAATATCAGCTTAATGCTGGTGCGCTTCTAACAGTGAGTAACGAGGCATTATATCGTCTTTAGGGGTGACAACGCATCTGCATTTTGATTCTTAATCGAGGATAGCTGTGTCTTTGGGCCACAGTATCCTCTTATGCATGTGTGCTCGTTCATCGCCCTTACTTCTATAGTTATCTAAAGTTAACAGCTTACATACGCCTCGAAGATAGTCTATCTCACTGCCAGTGGGTGTATTGTACAAATCCATAGCAGGCTACATTACACGATATAGCTACAAACACTTATATGTAGTGGTCAATGAAGCTCAAATCACAAACATTGCGTGATCTAACACATGTGAATGAAACAATCTATGTGTGTCATCGTACAGCGTTTTCTACTTTAAACAAATAAAATGTACACGCCCATTCGTAGTGACGAATTGGTGAACTTTATATAGAAATGCCCCCAGAAATATTTAAATTTTCGTAAGCATTGAATACATGGTAATAAGCACTTTTGCGATTAACAAATTTAATGTTGCCACCGGGATTTGAATATGGGTTTCTTGGATACCACGCTAACCCACTGGATACGTTACCACACAGTACCTCTATATAGCCACCGTCACTTCCAACTACTGAGACATAGAAAGCTGTCTACCGGATTTTATACCAGCTGGACACAACCATCAAGAAATGCAAACATCTTATTGTTATACATTAACCAATCTCAATAAAATCGTAAAATGTATAGGTACTATCGTGATGATCATAAAGTTATACGACGTAGACACTTCACATAAATATCAAGTATTTAAAATTAAAACAACATAAACATACTACGGACTTCCATTTGGCACGATCTTGACACACCTCTCCCGCCTCTTTTACATATACATTTTTTATATATATATATATATATAATATATTATCATCATTCATCATTACAGCCACTCGAGCTATATGGCCGGCCCATTGCCACTTCAGCTTACTAATCCGTTGGGCTATGTCGGTCACTCTGGTTCTACTGCGGATATCCTCATTTCTAAGTTTATCACGCAGAGAAACCCCGACCATAGCCTTCTCCATAGTTCGCTGAGCGCCCTTGAGTTTCCTCATACGGCCAGCAGTGAAGGACCACGACTCAGTTCCATAGGTAATCACTGGCAACAAGCACTGGTTGTACAGTCCAGTTTTCAAGTTTTGAGGTATGTCTAACGAGAAGATGTGCCGTAATTTCCCGAACGCTTCCCAGCCGAATTGAATCCGTCGATTGACCTCTCGGTCGAAGTTGGACTTACCTAGACTGTTTGTACCAGGTAAACATACTCATCAACTTCGAGCTTAGTGCTCCCAACAACTACCGGCATAGGTGTGACATGGACGTTATATATATGTACTGCCCAAACCGTTCGACAGCAAAAACTATCGCGAACATCTCTTCCTCAATTTGAGCATACCATATCTGTCAATGTGAGCGAAGCAAATCCTACCGGTCGCTAATTCTGTAGAAGCACAGCTCCAACCGCGACGCTGCTAGCGTCCACCGACAACACATGCTCATCGGTTAAGGGTACTCTTAATTTGGCTCATCTTCAATATATCACCAATTTGGTCAATAAACTTACATCTAGGGCATCCCTTGCCTACTCTGTAGTTCACTTCCGCAACATAAATTTGCCTTGTCACTCTTTTCTCGTTCATTCTTTCTACATGACCAAACCAGCATTCCTTTCTTAATGCTGGTCACATCATCTTGCACACTACACTTCTCCCTTATCACACAATTTCTCACAATGTTATTCAGATTCGGCGTTTGAACTATAGTAAATAAGTGTTAATGCGCGAAAAATATATAATAAAAAAACCTTCCGTTTAGGATAAGGCCCGTGATAATGTTCGTCGGAGAGTGCGGCGTGCGACGTAGCGGAACACTCGACATTAAACTCTAACGATCGACACTCCTTCTTCATCTGATGATGATCAAAGTTCCCGTCAAAGTTCACTTTGCCCTTTACGCCAAGCTTGTCAGGTGGTCGAAGCTTGCCAGGTGGTCAATCGCAGTACCAGACTTCCTGCACCTTTGACGTTACCGGTCTGGGAATGTTATTCCGGGCGTAAACGGGATAGTTATAGTTATACTAGTCAGATTCTGTAAGATCTCTCTGGCATTTCCCTCAGTCGCTTCTTACGACACCCACGGGATCATCATCATCATTACAGCCCTTCACAAGTCCACTGCTGAACATAGGCCTCCCCCAAGGAATGCCACAAAGCACGGTCCTGAGCCACCTGCATCCATCGACTTCCTGCATATCTTACCAGGTCGTCACTCCATCTAGTGGGGGGACGCCCAACACTTCGCCTGCCGGTACGAGGCTGCCACTCGAGAACCTTTCTTCCCCATCGGTTGTCGGTTCTTCGAGCTATATGGCTGGCCCATTGCCACTTCAGCTTACTAATCCGTTGGGCTATGTCGGTCACTCTGGTTCTACTGCGGATATCCTCATTTCTGAGTTTATCACGCAGAGAAACTCCGAGCATAGCCCTCTCCATAGCACGCTGAGCGACCTTGAGCTTCCTCATCCGGCCAGCAGTGAAGGACCACGTCTCAGTTCCGTATGTCATCACTGGCAACACGCACTGGTTGTACAGTCTCGTTTTCAAGTTTTGAGGTATACTTGACGAGAAAATGTGCCGTAATTTCCCGAGCGCTGCCCAACCGAGTTGAATCCGTCGATTGACCATACAACCCACGGGATGGAATGAATGAATTAATTCTCTTAACACCATACAGTCACCACCACAACTCAACCAACACTCAGGACACTACAATACAAGAAAGCGTGTGCTGAACCCTCCGTTCGGCTGCACGCTCGTAAAAAGCGGACCCTTAATGTCTACACTAATGACGTTCGATATGACTTATCCGCATGTCAATTACGTAAAGATAACGGCCAATGCCATTATATATGGACAAGGCTTCTGTTAGATGAAGTTTTATGGGTTAATGACTAATCTGAATAACCCTGCTTATAATGTACCAAATATTATAATGACGAGTCTAGAGTCTAGACCAATGTTTTTTGTATATTTATTAAATTTGAAAAGTTTTAAATACTTACCATTAAATCAAGGAATTAAAGAAACTATACCGTTACCGTTACAACCGTAAGCCTGCTTAACGTGTGCCTCCTACATAGATTGCTTCACAGGGGAAATATTTGCCACGCTTTTGAAACGGATTGACAAACGCATTTTATTTTTTATTTTATGTCGTTATAAGAAAGACGCTGCTGCCCATCTCCTAATTTGTTTCCCTATGTATAAATAGAATAATAATTGATTTCGACATAAACTACTTATTCACACGATTATAGCTACAGCAAACACTTATATGTAGTGGTCAATGAAGCTCAAATCACAAACATTGCGTGATCTAACACATGTGAATGAAATAATCTATGTGTGTCATCGTACAGCGTCTTCTACTTTAAACAAACAAAATTTACACGCCCATGCTCTAGCATTCACATTACCAGATTAATATATATAACTAGCAGTACGAAATTGCACACGTTTCCATCATAATAGCAATGCCAACTTAATTAAATATGTTGAAAAATTTATATGGCTTGGGTACCACAAGGCGCAATCGTAAGCCCGCTGTTTATTATAAAGGTTAACGCCCGACTATCGTTATTACTGCAGCAAGTACGACCAATAAATAATGCATTATACGATTAGCTCTACCTATGGAGATGATAGGAAAATAGGTCCTAGAACGAGAGCAATGTGTATAGTTTACGGTAAATTAATCAAGATAATGTTGAAACTCAAAACACTATAAATATTACGTTAAGTTATGTAATCAACTAGAACAGGAACAACACAGGATTTTCCGCCGACTTCCAAAAGGGAGACGGTACTCAATTCGACGCGTATGTTTTTTTTTTTAAGTGTGTTACCTCCTAACTTTTTACTGGGTAAACCGATTTCGATTATTCTTTTTTTATATGAAAGCTGATACTTCTCATGTGGTCCCATATGAATTTGATCAAGGTCAGACCAATAGAATTTGAGTTATTCTTTATAACTTATATTGAAGTCGGCTGTACAAAATGTTTAATTTTAAATTATTGTATTAGCCTAAGATTAAAAGTAAAAAAAAAAAACTTACAACGGAACCACGGCTGCCTGCTATATATTCAAAATATACCGTTGTATATTTTGAATGTAAAGCAGGCATGTATTAGTTTCCAAGGCTCTATCGCACAAGTACTATATCATGAAGAAGCGTCGCCTTGAAATATCACTCTCGTACAAAATAGAAACATTATGCTGCTGTGTTTCATACGTTGAGTGAATAGAAACGGAGACCCCGTTAACTGCCGGAGAGTTAACTGGCAACAAGACATTTTACATCTTAGTCCGCAAAAGTGTCGTGACAACTCTTGCAGTTGATTCTATTAGATATAGATCTCTACAGTCCAAAGCATGCACTTACGATCAGGTGGACTGTGTGCCCATTTTTCACACTTAACATAAACATAAACACTCACGCCTGCCATCTAAAGGGCTAGGCAGACACTACGGACTTCCATTTGGTACGATCCTGACACACCTCTCTCACCTCCTTCACATCCATACACATATGTACATTTATACGTGGTAGAGTCATCCTGCAGCTATATTATGGTTGTAGCATGAATGGGTCGGCTCGACCGGAG